TGCTTCCTGGAGAAGTCCCCAGCCAGCCTCTGGCATTTGTTACTCCCACAGGGAAGCCTGGCTCTTCAGGGAGAGGGTGTCCGCAGGTTTGGGGTGGTGGGAAGATTCCCGCCCTGCTCACTTAGCAACTGTAATTTTAATGGGAATGTTGGCAGGACTTATTTAAACAGACCTATTAGAAAAATGTGTTCTAAAATCAAAGGGCACCCTCCTCACCGTTTGCAACCCTTGATGACAAAGATCTAGATCCCTGGGAAAAGAGTGAGAGATGTGGGTGGGGCCATGTTATAAAGCGCACCTGGAAAGTAAGGCCGACTCTATTGTGCTCTGCAGAAAATGCACTTAAGAAATCTATAAATCACATCACACTGAAGGTTTGGGGCAACTCCATGTTGAGCAGAGGAGCCCCAGTGGTGTGGTGGTTACAACTTGGACTGGTAACCACAAGGTCAATGGTTCAAAACCACCAGCCATTCCTCTGGAGAAAGCAGGGGCTTTCTTCTCTGGTTAAGGGTACAGTCTCAGAAGCTCACAGGGGCAGTTCTAGAGTCACTGTGCAATCAGCATGAACTCGATGGCAGTGAGTGGTGAGTGTTTTGTTGTTGTTTTGAGCAAGTTTCTCCACGCCACCTTTTCAGTAGCGGGCCCTCACATTCTGTCTCTGTGTCACAGGTGGGGCATTCTCACATTTTTTCTGCCTTCTCTCATTAGGCTGCTTCACAGTCCAGCGTCAACATAGCTTTAGGAAACCGGAAAAGTGCAAGTGACTTGCTTTATGGCGACGGTGGCGTCGGTGGCTTTATTGTGGTTGCCAGGAACAGAGCCCTCGATAGCTCCGAGGTCGGCAGGTCAAGGGCAGACATAGGAAGGTCAGCGGGTCCTCAGCCTCTTTGCACCCTCTCGAGTTATAGGGCCCCCCCACAGAGCTTACATCATTTGTGGTCTATCTATTGATATCGACTGTTTTAGAAATGGAAGCAGAGCACAAGCATACTCGGGCCCTCAAGCCCCCAGCGAGGAGAGCAATATGGCTTCTGCAGGGCACCAGCTAAGAAATGCATTCTGCACACTGGTGTGTGTGTGTGTGTGTGTGTGAATGCCTCGAGTGCCCTGTACTTTAAATTCTATAGCCCCAAGGAAGAGTGCAGAATGCTAGTGCAAAGAGAAGGGTGAAAACAATGTCCTTTCCAGGCCAGTGACTTGCCGGTTTCTCACAGTAAGATAACAGCAGAGCTGGGTGTAAAATTTACTTCCACTAACTCTTAGCTTACTTTCTTAGGTGCGTTTAACACATTAATTGGTCACTGATTGGTTTAATTGCCTCCTAGTCACCTCCAAGGTGAGGGAGAGATTGCTGCCCTCGGGTGATGGAATGACTGGACACATTGGACGGCTGAGATTGACAGTTTATTAGCCACATGGACTCACAGCCCAGGGGATGAGGACCCCACATACCATGCAGGGGTGGCACGGGGAGAGGGGGTGGGGGGGTTACACAGAGTGAATGAACAGGGCCCATGGGAAAACAGAGAGGGGCCTTGGTGGCATAGTGGGGTACACACTGGGCTGCTAACTGCAGAGTTGGCCGTTTAAAGCCATCAGCTGCTCTCACCCTTTCTATCCTGGTTGAGCGTGGCGTACAGGCTGGGAAACCCACAGGGCAGCTCTGCTGTGTCGTGTCGGTCATTATGAGTTAGAACGGACTCAATGGCAGGGAGTTTGTTTGGAAGGTGGGAAGCCAACTTTGTGTATCAAGAAGGTGGGGGGCTTGCTCCCTGGCTCCCCAAAAAGTTAAAGGGCTATAAAATGTCAAGTTGACTACCTACTAAATGATAAGCCCTTTAAGGGAGAGGTTGTTTTCTAATGTAAGGATTTAGCAAATCTCTGGCCGCAAGGAACCCTGGTGATGCAGTGGTTAAAGCCCTTGGCTGCCAATGGAAAGGTTGGCAGTTCAAACCCGCCAGCTGCTCGGTGTGAGAAGATGCAACAATCTGGTTCCATAATGATTTACAGCCCCAGAAGCCCTTCGGCGGCGGCAGTGCTGCCCTGCCTTATAGGTTCACTTTGAGTCAGAATCTATTCGATGTCAGTAGGTTTTTGGCTAATCCAAGCCCCAAAGCCTCTCTTCTATCACATGATATCTATCTCAAAATATAAGTCCTACAGAGAAGCTGGGAGAATAGTGAAACAAGATGGTACATTCTCCACCTGCAATAGAGGTGGAATCCACATTCCATAAAGATCAGTTGGAGCCCTAATCCTGGCACCTGAGAATCTGAGGTGGCATGGGAAGAGCTTTTATGTTAATCAGGTCACACCAAGAGTAGAGTGGAACATAAGCCTAATTCCTTCTGAGTGACACCTTATAAAAAGAGTACGTAGAGTCCAGGTGACGACGGAGTCAGATTTATCAGTAACTCGTGGAATCCCAAGGGTGACAAGTAGCTACGAGGTATGGGAGAGATAAAGAAGGACTTCCCTCGAGCACGGAGGGCATGGTTTGGGTTTCTAGCTTCCCAAATGGGAGATCACAACTTTCTGTTCTTCAAGTCACTCATCTGGAGGATTTTATCATGATGGTCCTAGCAAGGTAGGGCAACCTACACTACCAATTGTTAATATTGCTGACATGAACTTGCAACAATAAAGTCCCTCTCCCTTTCTAAACTCAACCATTTGGAAGTTGCAGACGTCACGACACTCAGTATGTATCATCCAAGAACAAGGACATTCTCCTGTTATCAGGATGCCATCACATACAAGACATTTAACATCGACTCACTAATCTAGACGAAAATTTCAAGCAAGGTAGCTTTATTTATCATTTAGGGATACATAGTGGCCATTGAGTTGACTCCAGTTCATGGTGAACTCACGGAGAGAACAGAACATTGCCTGGTCCTTTGTCATCATCACGACTGCTGGCGTGTTTGAGTACGTCAGTTTGGCTCTTGTGCCCATCCATCTCAGCACGGGTCTCCGTTGCCTTCACAGGTTCCTTTATTGCTCCAAACATGATGTCTTCCTCTAGCGGTTGGTCCCCCAAGCTGACACATCCAAGCAAGTGAGTTGGACAATGTTCTGTTGTGATTCATAATGCATTCATAGGCAGTAAATCATCAGGCCTTTCTTCCTAGTCTGTATATGTCTGGAAGCTCGGCTGAAACCTGTCAACCATGGGTGACTTGGTTAGTATTAGAAATATCAATGGCATAGCTTCTAGTCTCTTAGCAACATACTACGAGTGTGGTCCAAGTTTCATACTTTTGGGAACCCCTTATGTAGAATGAACCCCTTATGGAGAAAGAGCCCTGGTTGCACAGTGGTTACTCATTGGGCTGTGATCCCCAAGGTTGGCAGTTGGAAATGACCATCTGTTCCCACAGGAGAAAGACATGGCTTTCCACTCCCATGAACAGTTACAGTCTCAGAGCCGCACAAGGGATAGTCAGTCCTACCCTGGCCTGTAGGGTTGGTATGACCAAGTCAATGGCAATGAGTTCAGTAGAACAGGGATCTGCAACATTTTCTATCAAGGGCTGGGCAGTAAAGTATGCTAGGCTTTGGGGTCTAGGTGCTCTCTGTTGTAACTACTCAACTCTGCTGTCATAGACAAAAATCAGCCATAGAGAATACATAAGTGAAGGGGTATGGCCCTGGTCAAATAAAACTTTATGTAGAAAAAGAGACACCTGTCCAATCTGGCCAACCCTGACCTAGAACAGGACTCTCACTAAGTTCTGTGGGGGTGTCTGGGCTGTGAGAGTTAAGTCCCCAAATCTCACTATATCTGGTTGTTGTTAGGTGCTTAGGAATTAATTCCAACTCAGTACAACAGAACAAAACACTACCTGGTCCAATATGCTGAACCATCCTCACAATTGTTACTCTGAGCCCACTGCTGCAGCCACCCCATCAGTCCATCTTGTTGAGGGCCTTCCTCTTGTTCACTGGCCCTCGACTTTACCAAGTATTCTTTGCTTCCATCTACCCTTCCGTAGACGTACCTGGCACATCTATTCAAAGGCTCACTGATAACAAGTTGATTCTGACTCACCTCGACCCTAGAGGGCAGGGTAGAATTGTTCTTGTGAGTTTCTTAGGCTGTAAATATTTACAGGAGAAGGGAGTTGAAAGCCTCACCTCTCTCTCTGGTGTAGCAACTGGTGGGCTCTGTCACCAGGGCTCCTCTGTACCCTGGTCAAACTCACTGCCAGCGAATCGATTCCGACTGATAGCGAACCTCTTGAGCAGGTAGATCTACCCTAGTGGGCTTCCTAGACAGCAGCTCCTTACTGGAGTAGAAAACCTCCTCTTTGTCTGGTGGACCAGCTGGTGGGTTTCAACTGGTTACCTTATGGTTAGCAGACCAACACGAAACCACTGTACCACCAGGTTTTCTGCGGTACCTGGGAAATGGTGATTCTACGTTGGGAGACGCCCCTGTGACAACCCCAAGGGTTCAGCAGAGGGGAAACTGAGGCCGGGTGGACAGTCTGGCTCTCCCGCCTCCCGCTCACACCTGGGCCAGCCCGCCCAGCCACCTGGGCGCAGTGCCAGGCTTCACGTGACGCGCCCCGGGCAAGAGCGCCAGGATCACCTGAACACGACGGTCACGTGACGGAAGGGGGCGGCGCCCCGTGCTCACGT